CATTTAAATGAACATGTACACACTCGGTTTTTTTTATGTAAACAAAAGAATGTCTACATATTGTAGATCTACACATGTATCTACGTATGCATATACATACCTGGCCTGGAATAGCAGCGCAGCGATAGATCTACGAAGCTGGTGCAAATCGTCTCAGTTTTCTGCTTATAATGTCCTCATATTCTCGTAAAAGGGAGAAGCAACGCCTTGTCTTTTATCTTATCCCACTTTTCTTTAAAGATTGTGTGGTTATTGCATTTAAATCCACTGCAAATTTCAGCTGATGTCGCCACGCTTTTTAGATGTAAACAACATTCCGTGTCACCGAGTGCAAGCGCTTGGCTGAAGCCGAATGCAGCCAAACGACTCATTAAAAAGAGAATTATTTTAAAGACATGCTACTTTATATACGAGAAAATCACTAATTATTTTCTATTTAAACATGAAGATATTGCTGTTTATTACAAAGTCTTGCAAATATCGGTAAATAGTTATATCGAGCACCATTTCCTTATAAGGATTAATAAGGGAGGAGCAACTGTCATGACGTCAGATCTCATTATGACTTCATTACCATATTTTTTTCATGTGTTGCCTTAACTGTACTGCGTTTTTTTACAATATTTAGCCATAACATTTTTGGCTATTTAAAATTTGAACAGTCAAAACAACTTTTAAGTAGGGTTAATTATATCTATTAAAGATGATTCGATTTAATTAGCTCCTTAATTGTTTCTCCCCTTCTACAAACACATTCGAGTTGATAATTCCTTAATAATTCTCTGTTTTGATATTGTTTCTCTTTCTAGACAAAATGTGCACAATATTGGCCAAGCACCAAAGATAAACTGATTGGTGATGTTCTTGTAAAAAATATAGAAGAAAAATGTCATGCTAATTACACAATAAGGCGATTCAAAATCAACAAACGTGTGGTAATACAAAACTGTATCCTTTATTTCCTGTCTTTTTAATCATTTATTTTATTTTATTTATTTATTTTTCTTTTTTGGAATGAGTTTCATCATGATTTATTTAATCTGGGCTAATTAAATTATATTGATACATCCGATTTAGTTTACTTTCATGCTTAAAAAATGTAAAGGAATTCTTTTGGCATTCATCTATGAAGACTCACACTTCACAATGCTATTGTGTTATTTTCTGCGAACCTTTTAACATCATATTTCATAAAATCTGTAAAAATATTTGAATTATCCATCTAATTTTGATTCTAAACGTTTACCCAGCTCTTTTTTTTTAAATAAATGCTCTCATGTAAAAGACACAACTTTAATTTATGACATCAAATTGGGAGAAAAAACATCCATCCAATTTGCATAACTAAAGAGAGATAGATTACTTAAATATCGGTCATGTGCGATGAAAATTGCTGAGAAAACTAAAACATTTGTCAACAAACAGACGGACACACACAGACAGACACGGAAAGGTAAATAGAACAACCACTCCTTTTGAGCTCCGGATATACTTAAATGAACCGGTAATTATGGTATTAAATATCTGTTGAACCTTTCATTTGTACATAAGGAGGGGGTTCAGTATGACAATATTTTTTGTATATATTGACATAGGATCAGATTCAACAAGAAGGAAGTATAATGTAATTTTTACAACAAAAAAAAATCGGCAATGGTACAGCCAACGTTATTAAACAACTATTATGGAAACTTTCCCATACATTTTATTTTTTTATGTTATTAACTAAAATTGAAGCTTGTTTGTTTTGATGTTGTTTAACGTCCCTCTCTTGTATTTATCACTCATGGAGACGCCACTACTTGCCGGTGGAGAACTTTGGAGAGTTTTGTCCTATACCCGGCACTCAGGGCCAATGAGCGGGGAAGAATGTTTTTCCTGGCAGCTCCTACGACACGGGACCTCGCTTTATACGGTCTCATCCGAAGGACCAGTCTCCACGTCCCACAGTCGTATTCGAACCCGCGACGTAAGGATCAACTCCTCATCTCGCGACTCTGAGAGGCGCTCTTACCACTGCGCCATGCGGATGACAACTAAAATGCATAATATGTTATTTTTTTTTAATGAAAAAAGTGGTCTATGTGAGTCTTGATTTTGAATTTTTGGATTGAATATAAGGTAGTAGTCTTCACAACAAACTTGATCTGAAAATAATGATAACAATGCATTAAAAACATAATTTTGTTACATATAAAAAGTCAGTAGAAATCAGCAATGCACCCTAGATTAAAATTTTTAAATGAATTACTCAGGAAAAAGCTTGCAAATATTTTTAAAAAGCATTATAGCGTATGTAAGATAATTCTCAGCTCTTAGGTATATAATAATGCAGCCACAGCATTTAAATACATGTCTAACTCAAAAGTATTGTTGGCAAACCTTAGAAAAAGCATGAACAAATTTTCAATATTGAGGAAGGTGAAACTTTTCTTTTCTTGCTCAATCAAAAGTATGGAAAGCAAATTCAACAATAATGTAAAACTAGTTAATAGAAGCCTAGTGTTATAAGATATTTATTTCTTATTTGCAAAATATTTGATGATCCAAGAAGTTTATTTTGGTAAATCAATGATTTGAATGTAATAACAGAGAGTCATAACACTTTTACTTAAGTTTGTTTTTTTCAAAGCAATTGATCACATTGAAAATGACTGAAGTAAGTTTTTGAACTTTTATTTGAATGCAATTTTGTTTTATCGTTGGCGTTTTTAACCAAAATTGAATGCAAAGAGAAGCAACAAAGGTCATATAATCACATTTATACGTGATTTAGAAACAATAGCAGATATATAACCGATATATTATTACTAAAGGAAACAAATGATAGCCGAAAGCTATTTGGATTTATTTTTTTTTACATAAATAAAGTACAAGAAAACGAAAGCATAATGTATATATTTTCCTTGTGAATCTTAATATTCATTCCCTTAAAAAGACTATTTATATAGGAACATCTTCTGTAAAATGGTGGGAATTTTTTTACTTAAATTCATTTAAAGTCACATGTCTTCTCTAACACTTATCTATAAATGCAGGCAATTGTTTGTGCAAATGTTCTTATAATTGTACATTTAAAAAAAATGAAGTACCTAAATCATGTTTTTCATCAAATGAAATGGAAGACATTCTACAAAAAATAAGGCATTGTTCTTCGGAATTCCTGCAAACATACAGAATTTTTTTTTTTTTTTTTTTTTTTTTGAAAGATAAGAACAATTTTTTTTTTCAGAAAAGGGTCTAAGGAATCAATTCCTTCTTAAACAAACAAACAAAAAAAAGGTAAAGGCCTACCTGTTTATATCTGTAATTTTCCATAGTCCTTTATGATTATTGTCATGTAGATTTGACACATTCATCATTCTTTAATGTCTCTACCGAATTTTTTCAACTAATTTCTGTCATTAAATTCGGCAGGCCAAATTTTATGCTTTGCTCATATTCACTTAAGCTACGAATTCCAAGTGCATACCTCTTTACACTTTCCGATTGAGAGGAGGTGTCAAATGGTGTCAAAAATACACGAATTTCCTACACATGCGTATTTGCTGAGATTTGGATTAGAATGTTATCACTTAAACGTGTAACGATGCAGTGATTTAAAATAAGCATTCTTTCTAAAGACTTTCATAACTCTTGATTTTTGTCACACTGTTAACCCCCCCGTACATATACTCTTTTAAGAGATCCTGATAGGCCTAATCTTTTTATAAATATATTAACGAATGAAACTTTGACAGCTTTTTAAATCGAGAATTCTTTCAAGACATGTACCGGTATATTTAAATGTACAACAGAGATATTTACATGCATGTAGATGTGGTCCAACAAGTATAGCAAACCACAAAATGTTTTTTATTATTGAATTTGGCATAATTTCGTTTATCCGTGAGAATTGAAGGTTGTTTTATCTCCGGGGACAGAGTTATACCCCTTGGACTTATTATTGGAATTATTCCAATGATTTGCAGTTTCTAATTAATTTTCTTTGCAGAGATTGCACATACTCAAATGAAATAAGGTATTCAGATTTTGCATTTACATGTACACACGTATACATTTCATAATGTAAACTGTCTTTAATAAAAGTTTGTGCACCCCTAAATGTCTGTCTAAGGGGGTGGCATATGTGTTTCACAAACATCTTTTGTTTGTCTTTTTCCCCCAACGTGCTTTCAAATAGTTAATTGAAATCTTTTTCTTGTGTTTAGGCACCATATATTTTACAAAACATGGGTTTTTTGTTAGTGCATAGAATAACCTTTAAAAATTGTCAAGACATAATAGGGGTCCTTTGTGTTTTGATCCATTATAACTTCTCTACAAATATTTAATATGTTCCAACAGTCATTCCATAAAAAAAATAGTAAGAATGACATCATCATCATCAATCGTAGTAAGAAAATGATAAAATAATTGCGTAAGACTTTCGAAATAAGACATCAAATAAGATATAACTTGAAATAAAATTTAGAATTAATTTAAAATAAACATTGTTTATTTCTTCATATTTTTTTCTAAATTGATGTGTAGGCGATTTTTTTTAAATCGACGTTCCTGCGTGGCACAGTGGTAGAACATCTGCTCTATAGCCGAGGAGTAAGGATGATTGACACTGCGTCGCGGTTTAAAATCCGACTTTCTGTCGAGGAGACCTGACTTTCGTATGTGGCCGTATAAACAGAGATCTTCAGCGGCAAAGTGGCGGCGTTTCCATTTGAGTAAAAATTGTCAAGACGGACGTAAAATAATATCTAATCCATTAATTAATCTACATTAGACTTAGCAATTAGAATAAGCTTTGATTGAAGTAAATTCGGCCTATTTCAAAGGCGCAGTTGATTTTTTGAATATTCTACGGCAAACTGTGCGCACATTAACAATTAATTATGATGTTATTTGTTTCTTTGTTTATTAAAAACGCTAAGAGGAACATTATGGATTATAAAATGCATATATAATAATAAGAATGATAATAATAATAATTAGAGTTTTGCATTGATCATGAAAATAATTTTCAAAATTCCATTATTTAAATACAGCTTATATAATGTTTGTAATCTTAAATTAAAGGAAAAAACAACTAGGGAAGTTGTTATGTTTCACTACACAAGATGGCCAGACCACGGGGTTCCTGCCCCACTCAGTCTTGTTATATTCCATCGTCACGTGATGAGAGTATCTTCACAACACCCTGCAAAATATACTGTGGTACACTGCAGGTTCGAATCCCTCATCAACATCTCTCTCTCTCTCTCTCTCGTGATCATTTGTTCATTAATTATCCTAATATGAACATTTCTATGTGTCACAAACTGTCACGGTAGATCAGGTGGAAGATTGCTAGCTCCATGATTGAAAGGTTGTTTGTTTGAATCACGACCGTGACTGACCCTAAGTCCATATCAATAGATATCAAATGTTCCTGCGCCAAGCGTCCGACAATTTGAAGTTAAAGTCGCGGGTCTTTTAAATGACCTCAAAAACCGAGGTCATTGGTCATGGTATTCGGTAGGCGTTAATTGGCACGATAAAGATCTCTAGCTGCTCAATAACACTGGAATATGTGACGTCTCTATATGAGTGAAAGGTTCCTAATATATTGTAAAACAACACTCAATTAATTAATCCAGTTTGTCACTTTTGAGCAAATTCATTAATGGGCATGTGGTGCTATCTTTTCTCAACGAAATAGTTTTTCAAGAATTAAGCAAAATCAAATACGTTTTGACTGAAAAATATATAAAATCCCTTCCATTTTTTTTTCATTTTTTAATACGAATACAGGTTTGGAACATCATCACATGTATATTTAAATGATATCTTGAAATGTTGTTCGTTTGCAACGGGCGACTGTATTTCATATTTATTTTTTTGAACAATTGTGTCAGCTCTTAATGGAATATTAATGCACTTAATTTTGATAATGTAAAGATTTGGTTTTGTTTTGTTTTTTTCTTTTCTGTTTCTTTTCCTTTTTTAAATGCTCGAAAAAATGCTCTCTAAGCTCAGTTATTAAAGAACAGATGTAACCAAAAATCGCCGAAAATAAGTATTCACAAAATGAGACAATACATGTATATTGCTGATACGTATTATACTAGTGATCACTTATAATTACCAGTAAAATAAGGACAACAAACTAACATGCGCTTACATGTATTACGTCAGGAAAAAAGAAGACTCTCAGTATTGCAGAGAGTTTCAAAAAGAGAGAGATAACCCCCGCCGTCTGGACCGCTTTTGCAGACGTTTATTTTGTGTGATGGCGCGAAATTGCATTCAATATGCTGGTCAGTTCTGTAATTAAAAGACATATACATGTATCGGTTTTAAAGGTTTCGTGGCATTTATTTTTTTTTTTTGCTCCTTGAGGATTCCTTACAGGACTGTTTCCTTTATTATTGTATAAAAGTTAATTCAAAATGACTGAAAGGAGATAAACGTTACAAAATTTAATTTTTTGCTGAAAATATTTTTTTTTCTTAAAAATAGGGTTACGAAATGTAGGAAACCCGGGCATGACATGCCTGATTTGTTTTATATGCAGGAAAAAACCATTCTTGCTATCAACCACATACCTCTATTAAATGAACCGATTTTGAAATGCAAAATAAGTCTTATTTTCTCTATTGTCAAAAATATTTGCTGATGATCACATTTTGTAATTTTGCTTCTCCTATTATATTTCTAGCGCGGGGATTGGTAGAACCGGAACTTGCATTGCTTTAGACGCCCTCTACCGGGAAGGGGAGAGAAATGGGAAAGTCAATGTACCGATGTATGTCAGGACCATGAGAAAAGACAGAATGAACATGATACAAGGCGACGTGAGTGTCCTTAAAAGAACTGTAGGAAGATACCCATTAGATAACCCAACGTTTGTAGTCTGTAAACACTGCGTGTATTCAGATTGTATGCTCACATTTCATGTCGAAAGCAGTAGAAATATGGAATTATGGTAAACATATGCATATTCGAATGTCTAAATAATACGAGATTAAAATCGACATTTTTGCTGGCCCTTCTTAACATACAACCTTTTTAAATTGTATTAGACTCCTACTCTTTTGGATGAAAACTAGGTAAAAAAAATTTTTTTTAAGTATGTCCACAATTTTTAGTTTAATCCCAGGAGGAAAATGTACACATTAAATGCACATTTGAGATAGTCTAAATGGAAGGTATTACATTAATACTTGTGACATTCTCGACAAAAGATATATTTGCCTTCTAAAAAGTATGGAGGTTTTTTAAAGATAAAGCCTTGGGATATAATTTTTTTTACGAATATGTTGAAAAAAAGCATAGAATGCTACTTATATAAAAAGTAACAAAACCCGCTTTTTAAATTAAAAAAAAAGCTTTCAAGTTTAAAAAGCTAATACGACGATTACGTTTTTGACATAATATTTCCTTTATTGAATAATCTGCTTGGAGCTGTTTATTCAATCACTTAGGTAGTCCATTGAAAAATAATTTCCTTGGGTGTAAATTTCCTTTAAATGCTTCCTTAAGGAAAATACAACATAAAAGGTTCTTCAATTGTCGAATCATTTAAACTTATCAAACGCAGAGATAGGATTGTCCTTATTGTAGTGTAGTATTTGCGATAAAGGAAAATTTCACGAATGATACTCACGAAAAACAATACTTTTAGTTTGCTTTTAAATGAAAAAATTGACACAGCTTCCTTATAAGGCCAATAAAAGTTTAGTTGTAGCGTCCAGTCTACCTTCCAAAACTTATCTGAAAAGAAATGTTTAATCTAAAGGGGGAAAGCATTTAGGAATATTACTCGCATTGCGCATGTTGTAATTTAATAAAACTACTGGATCATTAAAACAAAACTGTTTATCTACATAATTTTGAAAATGTTTATCGATCCAAGGATGGAATGTTTGCAAATTGAGTTTCAAAGACTTGTATTTGTTCATTTTCTGTGTTTGTGATTGATTACATAAACATGAAAAACGCAAAGCCAGTCCGTCCGCGGACTCTTAACATAAAAACAAACTCGACTGGCCTAACCTCGATATCTAAACCCGTATTTCTACCAAGGGAATTGTAAGGAAATTAAGATAAGGAAGTAAATATGTGTTCTAAATATATTACACTGAAAGCAAACAAAGATCAGGCCCTAAATTAGACATACTTTTCACATTGTTTTCACTGTTAAAAATAATCGTGAACGTACTGAACTTTTCATCTTTGTCATGCACTTCGTATTTTTTTTCTATTGATGACATATCTAACTGCAGCAGAACCGTAGCTCTCCGCGTGAGAAAATTCGGACATATAAAGCAGAGTGCTGACGATCCAAGCTTTATAAAATTTTCGGTTTACGTCACCCACCTTTTTTTTGTCGCTCAGTTTGGGTAATATTTCTTGCATTTTATGATTTCTTTTGGTTCAAGAATGATGTCCACATATATAACCAGATAATCTATCTACATTTTTCCTTTTAACGGTTCCAGAAAATTACTTATTATCCTTCAGAATTATACAGTAAATCTGATTGGTTTAGAGCACGTCACATGAGGTGAGACAATTCGTGTTGTCTCCCTCACGCGCAGGGTGACTACTCATGTCACCCTTCAGATGACAATAAAATAGCGTAAACAAGCATGCAGGGTTACAAGTGTGTTCTCGCCCTTTGAATGAAAATTACAGTGGTTAAAGCGAGATTGTTCTTATTTATAAATGTACACTAGCTGCAGAACAGTAGCCCTCTGCTTGAGAAAATTCGGACAGATAAAGCAGAGAGCTACAGATCCAAGCGTTTAATAACCTTCGATTCACACAGTCGATTTTTTGTCGCTACTTTAGGTATTTATTTCGTGTAGTTTAAGCTTTCTATGGCTTTTAGAATTGTATCCTATATTAACCCCCTTCCCCGCAGTCACGCATTTTAACGCATATACCATTTCCTATTTCTAACGCAAACTCACGCTTATACCATTTCCCCGCAATCACGCATTTTCACGCACTTTAAAAAGTTCAGTCAATCTTTAATTTAATGCCAATTTCCTTTTATTTAATACTTTAAAATATCTTATTAAATAAGAGAAGTTATTTTTGCATTAAAATTTAACGTCATTATATTATTTACGCTAAACTTAGGAGAAATGTGCACCACGCCATAAGGTGCTTGCGTGGAAATGGTAAATTTCTATTTATATGACGTGAACATTAAGTGTATGTTGCATAACAGTTTAGTAAGTTGTAAAGAGTTAATTCATATATTTAACTCTTATATTAAATACTTTATTTACCTTTTAACGGTCCGGAAACAATCCTGTATATAGTTTTGTAATATCGGTTTAAAAGAGTTCCATTTCGACATCCGTAACCACAAATAGCCATTTGTAGGCGTTGAGAGGTAAGCCAATGATCAGAAATTGAAGATGAATATACGATTTATTATTAAATACCCTTTAAAATCATTTTCAAAGCTGGGGAAAGTATAAAATACACGAAAAAATACTCATAGTGAGCGACAAAAAATAGTCGGCATAAATCGAAGGTTCTTACAAGCTTGGATCTGTAGTGCTCTGCTTTATCAGTCCGAATTTCTCAAGCAAAGAGCTACAGTTCTGCAGCTAAATGTACACTTGCAAAATATGCAGGATCGGTAATTAATAAATTCTAATGATGACGTCGAAGTTGTCTGTTGAATATTTTGAAAGTATGGAATCAGGGCAGAGTAGGAGAACACAAGCAAATTGATTTCTATTTTATATTCTATCTATTTATAATCCAGATTCTTCAGGATAATGAAATTATTATGGACTGTTTAAAAGCAAGATATTACTTTTTAGACCTGATGATTGCATTTGGTGATATCTCCTTCTTAAGGTAGGTCTGTACTTTCAGAATTTTCTGTCAAACTCTTTATTTTTTGATTTGAAAATCTTGAATAAGTCATAATCTAACTAAAACACCCATAAAAAACATATCTTTGCAGGTTAATTTTCATGCAACATGTCTCGGAGTATATACCTCTAAAAATGCAACAGCAAAAATTCAACATATAGAAGTGTAACATCATATTTTATTTAGCTATGTACCAAATCACATCCAATTATTGTTAAAACTTAGGAAAATTATAAATATTCATTTGTCAAGAAAATATTTGAAATTTCTATTTGAAAACACTAAAAAATTGATGTTGATTCTATCAAAATCTTTCAGAGAAAAAGCTCAAAATATCTTTATTTTAAATATTGCTCAAAATCTTATATGTTTATATGCTATTTTTTCTTCACAATTATTTAGAATTATATCTTAGGTTAGCAAAAAAACATACTTTATTATGGCTGACCAGAAAATTTTTACAAAACAGCCTTTTGAACACCTATACCCCCATTTTTGGAATATCTATTTTTTCAATCGTTTTTCGCAAAACTTATTAAAAAGTAAATTTAAAAAGATGATATAGGCTAAAAATTAAAGATAAATAGATCTCAAGTTAGTTTGTTTTAAAAAATTAAAAAGCTTTAGGTCCATAAAGGCAATTAAGAATTCTCTGTCTGTGTATGTACTAAATTACATATAGATCCTATGGACAGAGTGCAAAGTGGTTATTCCTATAAATAATGTACATTAAATGCTTTGTGTGCACAATGACACTATAATAAACAAATACATACTTGCTAAATTATTTTCAATCATCCAAAAAGATTTTTTTTCAATAGATAAGGATAATCCCAATTTTATATTGGTGTGTAAAATTAAAACCGGATCCGTAAAAGTGTGGACCTGCCTTAACAGTCCATAATTATATAATATTAATATTATCTTTAAATCCAACATTCCAAAGCCACAAAGAACTGTTTCGGACCTTTGGAAGGTATTTAAAGTATCAATAACAGGGTAAAATATTATAATTATCTATCATAGCAAGTGTAACAAAAAGCATTAACTACATGACATAATACCTGAAGGGAGTGTAAAATAAAGTGACGGCTTAAATCGAAGGTTTTCACAACGCTTGAATCTTGAGCTCTCTGGTGTATCTGTCTGAATCTTTTAAAGATATCTAAAGCTACAGTTCTGCAGCTTACTGTATAATGTAAATGTATTACCATTGCAGGTCTCATATTAAAGCATTATTGACACAGACAACCATTCGCTACTCTATGAAGACCACTTAAAAAAATCATATATAAAAACATATAAAATGTGCGACGTAAATGTATGTTAATGTAGCTAAAACTTTTGAATATGCAAACAACTTCATACCAAGTGATTGAACAAAATTTAAGATTCGTCAATTTATGTACACGAACAGTATATTTATGTGAAATTTAAAGTAAAAATGTATCTTGATATTGTGAGACATTTCCTCAAAAGCAATAAAAAATACATAGCCATATAACTGCCTTAAAAGTCAGTGTTTATTTATTAGAGAAAATTATGTTTTTTCAAAGTACTGGAGGAAATGAAAAGAAAACTAAGTAATTATTTCATTTGTGTCATAAACAATGCTGAAAATTCTAAGAGAACCTTGAATGAATTAAAGAGAAAAAACGACCCTCTATTTTCTCTGTGAACAATATCTGTTTACTATCCCATAGTACTCAATTTTTTTTTTTTACTTTCAGGATCAATATAAGGCAGTGTACCTTGCTCTTTGTGAATCATTCAATGGGAAATCTAGATGCCTTACAACAGAGTCATTTGTACGAGAGCTACAAGAACAGTCCTGTTACACCAACTGTGGAGAATTGGCAACAAAATCTTCTTTGTCGTCAGAATTTCAGGTGGCTACATTATTTTCTTACAAAACTAAAAAAAAAAAACTTCATTTGACATTAGTAACAAAATGTTTCCTTTTTTTTCCAGAGAAATGAATGATTGATCGTATGTTGTTTAACGTCCCTCTCGAGCATTTTTCACTCATATGGAGACGCCACCGCATGCCGGTGGAGGGCTACAAATTTTGTCCTATGCTCGGCACTCAGGGCCTTTGAGCAGTGAGGGATCTTTTTCGTGCCAGCACCTACTGCGACACTGGGCCTCGGTTTATACGGTCTCATCCGAAGGATCGGTCTCCACATCCCACAGTGGGATTCGAACCCGCGACGTAAGGATTTACTCCTTACTTCGCGACTCTAGAGCAGACGCTCTAACCACTGCGCCACCCGGGCGACGAGAAATGAATGAGAAATATGATGTATATAAAAAAAAAAATTCTCCAACTTTTTTTCCTCAAAACTCCATATTTTACTTTATCAGAAATTAATTAATGTAGCTCACTTTATTCATAATCAACTAATTAGACACACTTTTGTACAAAATGAAAATGTGATTCTAAAATACCTATTATTCAGAATCATAATATTGTATTAGGTTTTTCTTTTATCTTAGAATCAACAGTTCTTTTATTCATCTATTCATTACGAAATGAATTTCAATTAATGCCCTCATAGTGTTCGCATATAATGAATAACAATGAATTGTAGGATTTACTGTCCCTTCGAAAGGAATATGAACAGAAGGATTATGAGACCGGACGCTTAAATAAAGCTGCCAACTATACAGACAGCGTTTTGCCACGTATATTTACATATTTTATTCTTTTTTTATCAAGTGTTTTTTTTTTTTAGAAAACATTAACTTATTTGAATTCAAAATTATATCAAACAAGAAAAAAATAAATTTTCAATGTAAAAAATACCTTTAAAAGAAACAGGTAGAAGATTTATGAAAATTTCTGTTCATTTTATTGCAGTTGACGAATTTTTGTGTTATTTATCTTATTCAAAGGGAAGAAACACCTACTACAACGCAGTTACACTTCAGGTCTTAACTAATCTCCAAATTTCATTACATTCATTATTTAGAAACCTTTTGAACAATTTTGAATGTGTTCGGTATTTATAAACCATGTAAATTCGTATAAGAGAAAGAAAAATCGTCGTTTTTTACGCTTCAGACTTGTAACATAAATATACATGGGTAGTAAATTTTTATTTGATAAATTGGAGTTAATGAACTTCAAATAAAGGAACTCAAGTAAATTGATTTTATTGATTTTATTTTCAAATCTGTTATTTTCTTTTAGTCCTACACAGAGAACGACAGTCTGATCAGCGCCCAGTACCCACTTCCTGACTTCACTGAAGACTTCCTCAGACTCATCAGAGACTTTGATGCTCGTGTTGTGGTTTTCATGTGTCCGCTAAAGGATTTAAAATCCGTAAGTTATGTTTTACTTTTTAAAAAATGGGTTTAAGAAATCGCTAATAGTGGTTGCTTCAGTTCAGTTCATAAATAGTTAATAATATAATCATTTTTGTCGTGTTTTTCGAGTCTTCTCTTTGGGTTCCGTCAAAAACTGAACATAAGACTGTCGGAAACTTTACCATTATGCAGGCTAGTTTAACAAATCAAGCAAATTTTTCAACAAGAAGCATTGTGCTTCAGCAAAACGTAAGTTGTATAATTTATACAAAAAATCATATGTTTCTTTTAAACTTAACATATACCTCTTCGACAAAATAGACCCAAACTCACATATGTATCAAAACTTTGACATTCTGAGGATGCCCCTTCTACATGTAATGTAAAACAATAATGTAAGGATTAATCTTGCGCACAATTTGTCAAAAAAGTATAAACGGTTTTTTGTCAAGAATTGATAGAAAACGGTACTGAAGTTTATTCATCCAAAAACCGCATGAAAAGTTTCAATATAATCTTGTTGAAAAGGCAAGGTTTTCCATGTATTTTGTCAATGTTCTCTTGGAGTTAACGGGGTATAGAATAACATTAAAGGATCATTGTACCTCCTATTCATTATTCAAAATATTAATAAATCTAATTGCTAATTGATTGATATTTACAGGAATCATCCCTATCACAAAAGCACTATAGATTACTTAAGTTAACTATAATTAATATAGTGAATCATTGTTTTCACTTTAGTAATTCAAAGTATTTTTACTATAGTTTCATAGTACATGTAATACAAAGTATCAGTGAATTTTTATAGTTAACTATAGTAAACTATAGATAATTATATTAAATTTGTGAGTAATATATTACATTTATAACAAGGAATTTGTTAAATGCAGGGATTAAGTGACACAAGGGTAACTGTGCTAGAATGCAAGACATGGAAAGAAGGTAAAAAGACAACGGACAAAAGAGCTTTGCTGGATGTTGTTAAAGAGGCAAAATCAGGAAAACTCAATCACGAAGGAAAAATTATCGTTTTGTCCAGGTAATTCACAATAATAATAATCTAAGTACTCTATAGATACAATAATCTAATTATATCTTGAAAGTGATGTCGCTACACGTTGTGGAGCATTCTGTGTTGTTCATAAAGCTCTGGAACAACTCTATGATAACAATAATCTAAGTACTCTTTAGATACAATGATCAAATTATATCTTGATAGTGATGGCGCCACACGTTGTGGGACATTTTGTGTGGTATATAACGCTCTAGAACAACTCTCCATGGATCAGGAAGTGGACATCTTCACCATCACACGACAACTTCAGATCCGTAGACCTGAGTTTGTGTCTAACTTGGTATATACAACCATTTTCCACTTAAGTATTATCATTAATGACCATTTGCAATTACCTTTCATCAATACCTACTTTTCTCTGC